TAAACTCGTCCCTGCGCGCATGTAAATGTTGCCCGCGTACGTGCAGGCCCGCTCCGCTTCGGGGAATACCGACGCGCGAGGTCCGCGCGCGCGAATGTAAGCAGGCTCGTACAAAATTGTGCACAGCGTGATGTGTAATTGTGAAACGGCGTGCACGGATGAGAACGGCGCGTGTACGAACACATGACGACGGTGGCGGCTGGTAGCTGCGTACACGCGCGCATCGACACGCCGGGTACCTACACCCATCGGCATTCGGTGCCTGTGTTATTAAACGTCCATGTGATCTTTTTCCATCGAGTCTCGCTGCGCCGAGAGGAGGGATCCACCGATCCCTGGTACTACTCTTTGTGTGTAATTACGATTTACTTCGCGTCCCGATACGGCTGAATCTCCGGACGCGATTTCGAGCCACGTCCGTCTCGCCAGCAATCGCCAGCGCGTTTCAAACGCGGCGATACAAACAAACGCGATCGTCCCTGTTAAACGCAAGAACGTGAAACATTCTCGAGCGCTGAGCCATGGTTTAGTCTGTACTTCTTTTGACAATTTAAATACGAAAAGAAATATATGTTTACTAGATCAAAGGTTCACAAACACCCGCCTAGTCAAGACAATTCATGTTGTTGACCACTGCCATTACGCGTACGTTAGGACGATCGCGAGCCTGTTTTTTTTGATATTAAACTATCTTGAAACATCTGAAACGATGTTGCCAGGCGAATATAATTGGCTAGGAGGACCTAGTTAAGATACAAATAGGATAAAACAGACTAAGCGAGTAGAATTGTTAAAATTGGTAGAATCAATTTTAACAAGCAATATCGCTCCGAATGAATCTCCATCGTTACTAAGTATTCAAGTGTAGTCTCCGTTATTAAGTATCGCAGTGGAATTAATCACAACGCGATTCAGACAAGACTTGTTCAGTGCAATTCAAGTTATAAACATAAAGAATCGAGTTTATTGAATCGGGTTTTAACTCGCCAAGTATAGCCACGTGAGTACGTGACAGTCGTATTCGCGTCCGCCTATTTATCGATAATCGTCAACTTATTTGCGGCAACGACCAGCGACAGCGCGAAGGTAAACCGATAGGCGTTATCGCGATTTTACGTGCGCATTCCGGCTTGTACGCGTCTCCCGTACGGGGAATCTACGCGAAAATCAAGCCCATCCCTCCCCTCCAGTCCGATCATTGAACGAATAAATCGCAATGGGAGCGGGCTCTGGTGGACGCGGTCGGTGAACGAACGGGTTTTTCACCCGCGGTGCCGAGTCGAGAGGGCTTCGTCACCCCGGTTACACAGGCGTCCCTCCGGGGTGCCCACGTGGGTGTAACGAAGACAAATCGCCCGCGTATTTGATTAATTCGCGGAGATCGCTGGTCCAGCCCGGTCCCTTCGAGCTCTCGTGGCCCACGTCTGGCCTCTTCTCCTACCCCCTCCCCCTTCTGCCCACCCGTCCCTCTAACCTCTATTCTCGTTTTCCTTGCCTCCACCTTTCTTCCCTCTTTCCTCTTCCCTTCGTGCGTTCGCCTCCGTGCTTCGTGGATCGAATCCAGAGCGAGTTTTTGCCGCGATACCCGAGCCAGTCGAGAAACCCGTAACGTACTCATTACTGATTCTCGCCCTTTCGCGTTCTCTCGTCGTCGGCGTTCAATCATCAGTGCGTCGCGTTACCCTACGTGAAAATGCGCGTGACACGAGTTCCGCGAATAGCTTCCGGGTGTAAACCAACGCTGTTTTTTTTCTTTTCTTTTTTTTTTTTTGGCGCCGATTCGAAAGGATTCTGCGTTTTCGCGTGGCCGTCGCCGGGATCTCGACGAAAACCACCGAACGAGATATTCGCGTTTGGTAATGTATCGCATTAACGACGTACGTGTATCTGATCGGTATACTCGTTGTTTCCGACCGTCGGAACACAGATCCGACATTAGATTGCCTGTAATCGCTCAATCTCCCCGATCGTAAAATTCCATTAGCAATGCAAATTCGCTTAATTACCGCGACTAAACGTCCGATCCTATTGACAACGACCGATACTAAAACGTTGTCGGCCGGCGGGATTCTCCGCGTTACAATAAATTGTCGAAAACCGTTAGCATCCGTGGCGGGTGAAGGCGAATCGTAAGGAGAAGGCAACTGGCCGCACGGAGGTTCCAGTCAATGGTTAACCGATCGATACATTCACGATCGTGTTGGCTGTGCGTACGCGTGCGTACACGTGCGCGGTACACGCGGAATACATCCCCGTGGCACTTCGTACCGCAACGTGCCCTCTGGCGCACCGCGGCCATGCAAGCCGTTGTAGAAACCCGTCGAGGAGAAGCTCCTCGATTCAAGAATAATCCCGCGCGTTCACTCTCTTATTTACAATCTATCCGCGTCTCCCTCTACGCCCCGAGTTCCGTTTGCCCGGCATCCTCTTTACTATCTGCTGCGCCCTTGCGTTTCTCTCGCTCTCTCGCGCCATCTCTCGCTGGCTCTTTTCTCCTGTCTGGCTCGGTCCACCAGGTCCGAGAGGCTGGGCAACCCTCTGGACGGCGCGGCGTGTACCTCGCGACCAACGTCGTGCCCAAGCCCTTTTTATCCTGGCCGTGGCCGTCTGCCTCGGCTCCGCCGTTCGCCGCCTCGCCCTCTCTCAATCGCACAAACGGAATTCATTTCTAGTTCCTTGACTCCCGGTTCCCGTGCTCCTTTTCTTGCTCCCTTCGCTCTCAGTCCGCGGCTCTCGCTCGCGCGCGGCCGTAGCTCGTCTTGCTT